CATGCTTATTCACCATTCTACATCTGCGAACCCTCAACGTTCGAGAACATCGAAGGATTAATCTCCTACACCTAGCCACTCTAGATCGAGATCTCATATCTCTCGCAGACGTTCACGACGTCACTCATCACGAGACAGAGTTCGCAAAGAGAAGGCTCACATCACAGAGTTTAGCGAAGGGATACATCTAGCAACAGAAATTCGTGAAGAGAAGGCTCACATCACAGAGGTTCGTGTAGAGATGAATCTACAGAGAGAGGTTCGCGAAGAGAGAACTCTCAAGATAGACGTTCGTGAAGGGAGGAATCTTCAGTTCGCGAAAGGATGATGGAGGTTCGAGAAGGGATACAGGTTCGCGGAAGGACGATTCGCGGAGGCATAGCTCTACCGATCAGGAGAAAACTGATGAATAACCAGACTTCGTTTTTTTGGACTCAGAGGTAACAGCTTGGATAGCCAGTGGTTTGAACTTGGAGTCTCCTTCTAAGGATATAGGTCTACACTTATAAGATGTGTAATGACGACTTTAACTCGGTGACTATTCCCCCGTTTGAACCTATATCCAAGGTACCTTCTAACCTACGCACAGCTTTGAAAAAGCTGCAGACATCTACAAGGTTCGAGAACTCTCAGATCTACAGGCAGATAACAGCAATGCAGACATCTACAGGGTTCGAGAACCCTAGGGTTAACAAACCCTTACATCAACAGGCAGGATGTTGACGTCGACTCTATTACCATACGGCTGAATAAAACGAAGCAATGATGAAAACGGATGGTTTTGTCAGAAACTCAACAAAAAGATCTACAACATGTGCGATCTCTACAGTTTACAGCCTGCACAACTCTACAACCTGCATGACCCTTACACCTGTAATAGGTTCAGTTTCGGACGACAACCTACTTGATGAAAGGAATCACTTCATCTACACGGATGCTGAGGTCTTATACCGGGTAGCTGATGGCCTGCGGATATAGTCGTTCACTCACTCACTCCAACCCAACAGAGACGTACGGCATATATGCTGATGACTTCAACTCCAATATGATATCACCTATGAAGCCAATATCTCAAGTAGTGGAGATCCTCAAGGCGACCTTTGTAAAGGGCTTAAGGTTAACAACGCCTTCAAGAATCCTTGAACGGACGTACAGATGATATTATTAACACTCGTCACTCAGCGTGGGGATTAGGATTTTATATCCTATCAACTAGATTCAACATCGGTATTTCTTCAAGATCCATACAGACATACGTCTCGACAGCCTCCTTTGTCATGCTGGTTTATATTATCCCCAATGGAAATACGTGATATATATCACTGAACAAGATTTTACACTTGGAGCAACACTTATTCAAGAGCTTTATATGAGCGGCGTAGAATTACACGGGCTTTTACTCAACCAACTTATTGCACCAGATTTTATGGAGGCCAACTTGCTACAACACCGGTGACGTCATGCTTGAAGCTGATTGGTCCACGTTAGACAACGCCTCCAATTGACAGAGCAGGCCCCAGCAAGTTTACTGACTTGTAAACAAACCCGTGACACGAGTGAATACTTCATCAGCAGCCTTGGAAACAGTATACAACTACGGCCTGTTATCATCATGGGAATCTAATAGATGTCTAGCCTTGACAGCAGGATAAACGATGTTTATTTTGGAAGTTGTTGCTGATAAAAGTCGGTATGAGTACCTGTCCCCTGCGATGCTACACGGTAGCCAGCCTTGCTATAAATAGACAACGCTTCGATGTCAACACAGATCGCCTGCGTATATAAGGGGAAGAATGATGTATCATCACTGCAATCAGAGGTGAGCACTTCCAATTGAACATCCTACCATTTGGAATATCGTAGGCTTTATGATTATTCATACGAATAATCAAGCCTATCGGCACCTATTTACAACATCGAGGTCTACGCAGTGCCGGTTATCAGGACGACGGCATACAGGTTCTTCATAGTGTCAATCAACTCAGACAGCAGCTGAACTTCACAATTAAGTTGCTCACGCAACTAGGATTGCTAGTGAACCTGATGGAGTTGGAGTTAGAATCAAACAAGATCTTCAATTGCTGGGAATAAGAATGATCACAACACAGAATCGAATTGTGGTCCCAGAAGATCATTGGGTCAAGACACAAGCCATGATTCCACAAGCAGTCATCTCTCCGTTAACACTACGAACATGGCAATGTCTACTCGGTCTACTAACCTCGGCGCAGGACTTGACTCGCACAGGAAGGTTACAACTAAGGCCGCTGCAACGGTTCCTGACAAAACATCTGGACAGCATCGACCCTATCTTGCTGCCAGACAATCTTAAGAGGTACCTACTTTGGTGGACCCACAGGTCGAACGTCTGCGGAGGGACCTATTTACAAGAGCCGGCCTTCAACACACATCTCTACGTAGACACATCGATACAAGGTTGGGGTGCACATCTCAACAATCAAGTTGCATCAAGGAAGTGGTCCAAACAGAGCAGCATTTTCACATCAATCTGCTGTAGAGAGAAAGTTGTGATTAACGCCTTACAACTATGGTCGAGCTCACTGATCAACAGAATGCTGATGGTCCACACTGACAACTCTACAGTGGCATTCTCCATAAATCGGCAAGGATCTAAAAGATCACCAAGCCTGCTACAGCTCACATTCCAGTTGTTTGACATCACGGAGGAGGCAAACATCTGGATAAAGGCGTGTCACATACCCGTAACCAAGAACGTGCTTGCAGACGCTCTCTCCCAACCACTGCACCCATCACCTACGGAAAGGATGCTCCATCCAGAAGCATTTCATCATAAGGGAAATAGGATCCCCATGCATAGACCTGTTTGCCACGAGGTTCAACAAACAACTACAGACGTTTGTCTCACCAGTTCCAGATCCTCAAGCCTGGGCAACAGATGCACTGAACGCTTATGCATTTCCACCACTGATATTACTACTGAAAGTACTGTTGACGATCAAACAGACACAGGTGCTACAACTGACCTTGGTCGCGCCATACTGGCCAGCGAGAGTCTGGTTCCTAGATCTAGATCGATCTCAGAAGTCCAACAATCAAGTTACCAGATTGGCCGAACATACTAATACATCTGCACACCAAGCAAGTCCACGGAAACCCGAGACTGTTCCAGCTACAAGTGTGGACCGTATCAAAACATGTTTGAAGGAAAGAGGATACTCCGTCAGGGCAGCCAAGGCAGTAATGCTAGCATTACGCAGATCTACTCGTAACTTGTATGATGACAAGTGGCTGAGAGTTTGAGACTTATGCAAGGCGGAAAGGCTTCATTGCTATGAAAGCTACTCATCCTCATGTGGCGGAATACCTGTGTCATCTTAGACAGACTAGACATCTGAAAGGTTCGACATACCTTGCTGCCATCAGTACAGTCATTACCATGAAAACAGGCATCAAGTTGACGAAAGTACCAGAATTACTTGCTCTGCTGAGATCTTTTAAACTGGAGGACCAGCAAAAGAAGTTCAGAGCTCCAGCCTGGGATCTGAATGTAATTCTACATCATCTTACCAGTGATGCCTACGAACCTCTAGACCAGACTACACTCGAACTGATGACACAGAAGACTCTGTTCCTGCTTGCGCAAAACACGGCAGCTCGAATATCAGAGATACATGCGCTGGACTTTGGTCGGACCAGATTCGACACGGGGCAACATGCTGCAGTTCATCTAGGACTTAGATGGGACTTCACTGCCAAGAACCAACTACCTGGTTAGCCAGATAGACAGTTCCACGTACCGCGCTATCTACAATCCTCGGACCAGAGGATATAGAGGACCTATCCTTGTGTCCGGTCAGAGCCCTGAAGATATATCTTCAAAAGACTAAGACAAGGAGACGAAAATTCAATCACCTGTTCATCCCATTGTCCACAGAGACATCAGTAGAAGTCTCAAGAACAACAATATCATTCTGGATGAGAGCTGTCATGTTGAGAGCCTATAAAGCAGCAGGACCATAACCTCCCAGAGCTTCCAACCCACACGAAGTCAGAGCACTGGCGTCAACATTGGCTCTGCACAGAAATTGCTCTATATCAGCAAATCGGCTGCTTTTGGAAGTTGGATAAGGTGTTTGCCAACCACTACTTCCGAGACATAGCCACTGAAGACGTCTCAGGCATTCACCAATTTGGGCCTCTCGTTGTAGCACAGCAACTAACGGTTCCTCAAAGGCGCTGAGTTGGAAAATCTCACCCTTTATCACGTTGACTTGTTGATAACTTTTACTAAGGAAAAGTATTAGTTTGAAAGTCCATGCACACACTCTAGGACAGACTAGCATGAGTGATTAAAGATCCTGTACGGGTAAAGATCTTACCTGTACGTGAAGGGGTCACAACTCATTTATGATAAAGATCTTATCATAATCTATGGGTTGTTATAAGATATCTAGTAATAAGAAGATACTAGTTTATCTGAAGCCACATGAATCAAGATGATTCAACTTGTCTGAGATGGAAGTAAGACAAGAAGTGGTCCACCCCCCACCCCCCCAACCGAGATATTTTTATACTTATCCTGACTCATGAGGTCAAACCCTCCCTACCTCCCCGCTGGAAACACTTTGGATTGCACAGCAGATCCACTTGCTTGGGCAGAAAAATCAGGAGAGAGTGACAAGTCAGGCTGGTCACATGACTGTTTAACCGGGAAAAGGGAGGTAACTCGTGGGTGAGTGTATTTTAACGTCTGCTTCAGGAACTTCAAGGGATTCAAGTGTTCCACTACCATTCGCAAGGGAAAGGGAGATAAGCAAAAGATCATGAGTCAGGATAAGTATAAAAATATCAATTTTACTTGAAAAATTACATTTTTGACCAGACACCTGTTATAAGCACTGTGTAATTTAAACAGGACTTGATTCCAAATGAATAAATAACCAAATGGGGTGATGGTGTATATCACAACAAACCTGTACATAATAATTTTCAGTGGTCAAGCTAGTTGTTAGTCTTACCTCCTTCCCCATAGAACAGCAAGGCATTAAAGAACTTGGTCTCTGCTTCATGTTTCAAGGCGTCCATCTCAGAACACAAGGATGCTAGAACTGTGATGATCTTGTTGAAAATCTTGTTGTCTGTTCTGATCAGCTGAAGTAAGCTCGTTTGTTCATATGGCAGAAACTGAAAACACATGAACCAGTGTGATCACTGAAATTTTCTGAACAAGTAATAGAGTGAACTTAGAAAGCACTTTTCCCAAAACAAGTGTAACCATAGTAACTGTACTCTGTTACCTAAACTTATAGGTCTACAAGTCAGAACTTCTGTTGCCATGCTACTTCATGTACTTCCACATTAAAAATTAACTGTGTCTCATATAAAGTGAAGTTTACAGTTCAACAAGAGTGGCTTCATTAGCTTTTGAAATCAAAACAATCATTGGGCGCTGTTTGCATTCAAATACCATGTGTGTGAGTATCATGCTCCCCTAACACACAAACATTAAATATGTTAAACAAACATTAAAACTGAGCATGAGTATGTGCAAACAAACTTTGAATCAAGACCATAAACATGCTAAAGATATGGTCCCAGCATGTGTAGACCTTCTTTGAGAGGAATTGGAGCAGTAAGGAATGATATATATGGATGAACAACTTCAGTATTAGAGTGACAACGACATTTCAGTGTAGGAAATGATGAACAGAAGAGATTATTATTTGGAGATTAAATGTGCGCATTCCGACATAATGCATATTTTGCACACGAGTGAACAGAATAAGGATAGCCAGGCAAATATACAAGTGTGAGATGTTTGTACAGTACATTGGGGATTAGGGCTGCAATAGCACAGGGAAGCCAGTTAACATATAGTTCACAATAATAACATTTAACAACACATATAATTGTTATCCTTCTTTATGTGTACACCATCCTGCACCCTACCTGGAGAGCTATAGGGTCAAGTGTCATGTCCCAGGAATCTCCGATGGAGTCATCCAAAGCATCTTCAATGTCCTTTAGCTGCGAGGCATAGTCCTCAAGGAAACTACCATACTTCTTGAGTTGAAGTTCGCCAACTATTTCTGCAAAGATTAACATAGGTAAATATAATAGGAAGCTTTAGGAAGAGTGTTAAGGTGACTGACTGACTGAGTACGGTTTTACGCCGCTTTTAGCAATATTCCAGCAACATCACGGTGGGGGACACCAGAAATGGGCTTCACACATTGTACCCATGTGGGGATTCGAACCCGGGTCTTCGGCGTGACGAGCCAACGCTTTAACCACTAGGCTACCCCACCACCCTGTGTTAAGGTGAGCATGTTTAGATTAATTAGAGCCTTTCATTTCAACTTTCCAATGTTAGGTTGGTTACAATGGGTATTATAGTGGCTGAATCATGTAAGAAAAATATTTTTACAAATAAGTCTAAAGCATATTTGAACTCTACAGTTTACCAGGTCACGGTCAACACTAATTAGCTGCAGGCTCTGTCTCTTGCCTCATCGACTTTACATGCCTCTTCAACCTTAGCTGTGTTTGGGTGAATAATTCATGAATATATCCTTAGCCCTTTCATACCATTTCTGATGCAGTGCCCTACAATCCTTAGGGTTAGGTACCACCATAGAAACAAACAACAGGTACAAATGTCAGGGTTGCATACCCCTGTACAATCCTCCAGGTTAAAAACTGTCACCAGTCATGCTGAGACAAATGGCAACCACAAAGCACTTCACAACAATCAGTCATCTGATCATTTGACTAATGACTGGCTTAAATCCTGCTTGCTCTCATTGCATATTATAATTGGGCCACATTCTGCCATAGAATCTACACTATAGTGTGATGTCACATATAAAACACTCATAATCTACTCTTTATCTAATTAGCCAATATCAAACCAGGGGACTATGGGCGCCAACACAAATAAATACTGCTTCTTTGCCAAGCCATCAGCATCCCCCCATTGTTTACCTGTATGCGTGTGTGAAGTAGCTATTACTCCGCAACACTTTAAACAGTGCTTCCTCAAATTATAATGGACGTATTTGTTAAGAGAGGTGGCGGATCCATAACCAACCTGACATGTTTTGTTGCAAGGGGTCAGAAACAATAAAAAAAAAAGCATCGTAAATGTGTGTTTGATTGGAGTCGGGGTCCAATAGCTAAGGATAGAGATAGAGGTATTGACTTTAACTCTAACACGACTAAACCTACGGATCGAAGAGGAGAGAGCTGGGAATCATGAGGCAATGCATTAGCGCTAAAGTGACTGGTAAACTGAATCTTTACCCCAAACAATTGTATATAAGCAATACATTGAGGGCGGGTCAGGCTTGACCAGCTGTAACAAATAGTGTCACTGTTCTTACTTAAAGATCCATCATCAAATTTGTCAAACTCCCAGTCAGCCGTAGTTGTACCGGAGGCTGCCATTTTCGTCGGCACGCCTCCCTGCCTCTCCTCGTGTCACTTAGTCAACAATTTGCTTATCTGGGTTGCAGTATCTGAAATGACAAGCGTTCCACGGTTTATGTGTCTTTCATCACTGGGATGTAAAGCTTGAGTTTACTTTTACGGGGGTATCAGTGTCTGAAAGATGCCTAAAGACTCACATTTTCGCAAAACCGGAAGTGGAATAAGTATCATGTGATGTTTTGTCACGTGACCAGCCTTTAAAATCCGAGCCACCTTATTTAACCGGGTCCAGAATACAACAAGCAACGCCATCTCCGTCAGTGATCGGTGAAACCATCGTGTTAAAGGCAGTTTTGAAGTGTTTGTGATAACGAAGAGTTTGTTGTAGATTTCAAGTGATCACAGTTTATCCAACATAATATGTACTTTTCTGGTTCGACGTTCTGGTGATTTCGACGATTGCATTGCACGCGCTATATCGGGGGAGTACGTGTGCGATCGGAGTGCACAAAGTCGCTGTCGTGAGAAGTTTTATTGACAATGGAAATCGAGAAGTAAAGTTATATAAAAAGCAAACAAACATCAATATTATTTACCCTAGATCGTTAATACCACTTCAGATGCAAAATCAGTTGCCTTTATAACAAAAAATAGAAAGCGAAAATTCAGTTAGATCAGTCGTCTGCTGGTGGCAGGCAATATATAAATAGGAAGAAGCCACGTGATCACAACACTCCCTCGCAGCGCGGAGCAAAAAGTATGGCTCATCGTCGAAAACCCATACAAAATACCCGCATATGTAACGAGCGGCAACAGTTTCGCCGATACGATGCCATCAACACTATTTTTGTAGGGAACACTTGATATTTTTGTGTGAAATAGATGAATATATCCTTTAGCACTCAAGGTTAGTAAAATAAAAACTTTAAATGGTATTACAGACAAAAAATACGTTTTTGTCTTACATCGTCGAAAACCCCAGACACCGGGATATATACGGATTATACCCCGTCATATCGTGTAGCTTTCAATTTATATTCGAATTAGACATGTGCACCTATATCTGAAGTGTCAATCAATTACCTCTCACCATTGATTCCCGGAACACTGCTTCTTACACTAAGACAGCACACCAAGTCAGCGTTGAAAGTCATAAAATAGAGACCTACACTCTCTCAAAACCTCTAAATTGACTGATGACTCTTCAGAAAGTACCGAACTACCATTTAAAATCAAAGGTTGAAGAGTACTAGTATCCTACATAACGGCATAACAGTGGAACTGTCACCTGGCACAAAATCCTTTCCATATCTATTTAATTTGTATGTATGATGTTGGTTGGTTTTATAGGTTTAGGGCGACGTGTGTATGTATGAAGTAACTCAAGGAGTTATCTCCCCTTGTTAATATATTGTTTAGAATCTGTTAGATTTATATTTCATTTAAACGATGCAATGACCTATTTTAAAATAGCATGTGTATAGCATGACACTGTATTTGCTGATACGCTCACATCCTGGCATTAGATATAAGATTTTATACCAGAGGGGGTTGCTTCACGATAACCTATTCTCGTCTGACTCGCGTGAGGATGGATATGGAAAATAGCGAACAGATACTCCACACTGGTGTTGCTTGTTGTGTAATGTATTCTGTCATCGGTGCTGATGCAGACAAAGTTGAGTGATAATAGAAAAATTACTTGCTCAATGACTATATAATCCTGTTGGGTTGATCATATTTCCAAAGCTGTACAAAACCTACCAAAGACTGGGATGGTATTTATCATATTTAACATTTCTCAGTGTATGTAAAAGTAGAAGACATTCAAGCAGTATTCTCAGGTTAGATGAGCTGAAACGTCATTGCCATTGTTGCGCATGTTGTTTTTAAAGGCAGGCAAAGGAGTTTGGGTGCCTTTCTGTGTTTGGAAATACAAAGCGAACTATGACTTACATCCTGCAAGTAATAAATGTATGCGAATTAATAATTATGTAGTGTAGTTACGAAGTATGTTTAAGTGGTGGTAAAGCGATATGGAGTAGTAATGTCATTTGGAGAAAATCCTGTTTCATTTTACGAGTGTTTCAACTGTCGTCGCATTGCAAAAGTCAGAATCGTCGTAATACTATATATTGAATCCTGTCATCACTTGAGGAAGCATGACAGCCTCACAGAACCAACTCGCTGTCAGGACGACGCCCCTGGTAGCGCTGAAGAAGTACATAATACCATATATGTACAATATAGCCCTGGATACTCACTACTAGACTCGTACTAACAGTAAAACATATTGCATGTACATGTATGTAACTTTCATGGACGCGATGAGATGAAGTGATAAGTGTGGTGATGGTAGCACTTTCATGTATTTAGCGTCCAACTTTGGATTTTCAGTACAGTCTTAAAACTATGGTATGGTGTTCTCTAAAGGACTAAATTTATTTAATACTGACTGACTGAGTTTGGCTTTACGCCGCTTTTAGCAATCTTCCAGCAACATCACGGCGGGGGACACCAGAAATGGGCTTCACACGTTGTACCCATGTGGGGATTCGAACCCGGGTCTTCGGCGTGACGAGCCAACGCTTTAACCACTAGACTACCCCACCGCCCCCGAATTTATTTAAGAGGATCGAATGTTTACTGCCTTCAGTTCATCATCTACAGAATAGAAAAACCCAACGAGTTTCGAAAAACAATTTGCCCTTGCTTTATTTCGACAAGTAATATATGAACCTTAAAGTAATATATGATATACAAAAGCACCATTGGAATCCATGTTTATTTTATGATGATGATTGCTCATTTAAAAACAAAACCACTGATTTTATACAAAACAATGTCTGTACAAGTATGGCCCTGGAATATTTAATGTTGAATTTATTGGCGAATGTGAACATTCAAAATATCATTTTGCGTGTCTTACACGATTCACGTTCAATACCGAGTGTAACCTCCATGTGACTGTTTGACAGCCAGCACTCTCCTCCTCATACCCCCTGTCAGCCTCCAGATACTCTGAAGAGGCCTCCTCTTCATACCCCCTGTCAGCCTTTAGATACTCTGAAGAGGCAACCCACGCCATTCCTCGTGTAAGGCAGCTTCCATTTGGGCCAGGTTCTATACTGGAGGATCCCTTTCTTGCACACGACGACCAATCATGTCCTAGATATGCTCATTCAATCGTGAGATATGTCAAGGGGAGCTTAACTGAGTTCTTAGTGTGTGGGGCAGTGGGGCGGTTTGGGGAGCCTTGTGGTTAAACCGTTGGCTCGGTTTCGATTCCCCACATGGGTACAATGTTGTTAAAAGCTGCATAAAACTAACCTCACTCACTCTTTGTGTGTATTATCAAATGTTTAACATCTTGAAGCCAACTGCATGCATCTATTACTGCAGCAAACTGTAAACGGGTTTATTAAATCTGTCTTATCGCTATCTTATCACCTGCTTTGACAATACCGTAATCATACAGACACATTTGATCAAGCTTTATGTGCTTACTGCGTCTTATTATGCAAATGATAAACTAATGTTTCGATGTGATAACGAATTAGGTGTATACCGTCTCGTCAAATGAGGTAGCCGGACAATGGCACCTAGACATAGCCAAAGAAAACTTTGTGCCTCACGGTTCCGAAACAGTTGGAAATTCTACATAAATCAGAGGCGGAGCCAGGAATTTTCGAAGGAGGAGGTTCAGGGGGTTCTGACAGATAGTGGGATATACTCCTCCATCACCTGACAGAACGTGGGATATACCCCCTGGCCACCTGACAGACAGTGATAAATACTTCCTGACCACCTGGAAGAAAATGGGATATACTCCCTGACCACCTGACAGACAGTGATAAATACTTCCTGACCACCTGGAAGAAAGTGGGATATACCCCCTGACCACCTGGAAGAAAGTGGGATATACTCCCTTATTACCTTGGAGAAAGTCGTTGACGGTCCTGGGTGATCACATCGTTTACCACTTGAAACTCTAGGTTGTCATTGGCCATCTTCGGTGTGAAGACCAGTGCGGCATTATGTTACAGTGTTTCACTCAGGAAATGGTGAAATGTCACCGGCACAGACGCATCTCAGTCAGATTGCTGCAGACAAACAAGGTGTTGATGGGGTAGCAAGTGATATATGAAGAAACTACGTTATTAACTAACAAACTTATAACGAACGGATAGATATAACGAGCTTAAGGATATATAGAACTATTTTTTTCTAGTGCTCGCTGTATATTTTATTTAAAATGCGTACAACGACGGTGTATTGCGTGTCTCAGTATCGCAAAGGCGTTGGACATTCCACAATATCTAACTCGTTCACCAAGACTAGCTGTTGTACAGACCGCTGTTATAACATTCGCACACCTGCCTCCTCACCAGTCCCTAATCTGACACAAACCGATCTGACAACAAACAGGGGTGGCTATTACTTTTGCAGCAGTTCAGTACAGATATAAGTGACAAAAGCTTTCCCATATTCAGAGATTCTCTGCAGAAAGAACATGTTTCAAGGAAAGCTAGCTGTCAGAGGTTACCGATTCACGTCAAGTTATAATATTACAATGCATCAAATATATTATTATTTCTACATTTCGTCTTTTGTTAGACTCACATGCTCGAATATTGAAGGTCACATTCGTTGTTGGCGTACGCTGAAATAGAGTACTTTACCAACGCATTTTTTAAATGCTTTTGGACATTATGTGATGTACATGTGTTTGACAGTGTGTGATGTCTGTATTTAACAGTATGTGATGTATATGTATTTAACAGTATGTGATGTATATGTGTTTGACGGTGTGTGATGTATGTATTTAACAATATGTGATGTATATGTGTTTGACAGTGTGTGATGTATGTATTTAACAGTATGTGATATATGTGTTTGACAGTGTGTAATGTATGTATTTAACAGTATGTGATATATGTGTTTGACAGTGTGTGATGTATGTATTTAACATGTATGATGTATATGTGATGTGTGATGTATGTGTTTTAACAATATGTGATATATGTGTTTGATGTGTGATGTATTTAACAGTATGTGATATATGTGTTTGACAGTGTGTGATGTATGTATTTAACAGTATGTGATATATGTGTTTGACAGTGTGTGATGTATGTATTTAACAGTATGTGATATATGTGTTTGACAGTGTGTGATGTATGTATTTAACAGTATGTGATATATGTGTTTGACAGTGTGTGATGTATGTATTTAACAGTATGTGATATATGTGTTTGACAGTGTGTGATGTATGTATTTAACAGTATGTGATATATGTGTTTGACAGTGTGTGATGTATGTATTTAACAATATGTCAAGTATATGTGTTTGACAGTGTGTGATGTATGTATTTAACAGTATGTGATATATGTGTTTGACAGTGTGTGATGTATGTATTTAACAGTATGTGATATATGTGTTTGACAGTGTGTGATGTATGTATTTAACAGTATGTGATATATGTGTTTGACAGTGTGTGATGTATGTATTTAACAATATGTGGTATATGTGTTTGACAGTGTTTGATGTATGTATTGAACAATATGTCAAGTATATGTGTTTGACAGTGTGTGATGTATGTATTTAACAGTATGTGATATATGTGTTTGACAGTGTGTGATGTATGTATTTAACAGTATGTGATATATGTGTTTGACAGCGTGTGATGTATGTATTTAACAATATGTGATATATGTGTTTGACAGTGTGTGATGTATGTATTTAACAATATGTGATATATGTGTTTGACAGTGTGTGATGTATGTGTTTAACAGTATGTGATATATGTGTTTGACAGTGTGTGATGTATGTATTTAACAGTATGTGATATATGTGTTTGACAGTGTGTGATGTATGTATTTAACAATATGTGGTATATGTGTTTGGCAGTGTGTGATGTATGTATTTAACAGTATGTGATATATGTGTTTGACAGTGTGTGATGTATGTATTTAACAGTATCTGATATATGTGTTTGACAGTGTGTGATATGTTTTGACAGTGTGTACTATATATGTCTTTGACAGTGTGTGATGTGTATTTGACAGAATGTGATGTACGTGTTTAACAATATATGATATATATGTTTGACAGTGTGTGATGTGTGTTTGACAGTGTGTGATCTATGTGCTTAACAGTATGTGATATGTACATGTTTGACTGTGTGTGATATGTGTTTGACTGTGTGATATATGTGTTTGACATTTTATATGTGTTTGATAGTCTGTGAATTTGTTTTTGACAGTGCGTGATCATTTACTTTGAAGCAAGCTTTTTATTCAAATTTTTATTCCACAGTGTAGTTTGGGTCCTTAGATGAATTAGACAATGAAAACTAAAAAAATATGGTATAACATATATTGCACGTGTTAGTATAGGTTTTGACGAACAATACATGTATGAGTATATATGAAATCGGATTTTAGTTAACATAACAGTTGTGACAGTTTCACTATATATTACACCGATGTACAAATGTATAACATAAGTAAATATTTATGGAACATTGACACTGATAAACGTTACAACATGTTGACGTGGAGGTCGGTCCATCTTCGAAAAGTTTCCCCAACAGCTAAGCTTTCTGTCAAAACAGACCAGAAAGGTTGAGGCCGTCTTCTTCAACGGTGTTCTCGAAACATGAGGACTATCTGTAGGAAGCTAAAGGGTTTATCCTTAGCCAAAATAACACCGATACACTATCAAATCTTCTAAACAGGGCGTTTGTGCTTCGATTAAGCTGGATATGATAGATAAATTACAATGTTAGAGCATATAATACATTCCGCCATCTTGTCATGTTGGTCACATGACATTGGTGGCATGCTGGTCACGATCAAGATGACTTGAATGACGTGTGAATTTGGTTAGGTTTCCATCTTATCGGAAAGAGATACATGGAAAAGTCAATATAAGTTAAAAACGTTCAGTCATTTTTTTTCACAGTTCCGTTCGTCTCAGCGTCTTTGTTCATCTCGGAGTGCTTGTTGTTTCTCGTGAAATTCCAGTCTACTGGGTTGAACATCTGTTCAGTCTTTTTGTACGTCCAGTAGGGGGTCATGATGAGTGTGACAATAGGTAGCTGTATGTACAGACACAAGAAGACGGACAGGGGCATGCTCGACCAGATATGAGGCCAGTTCTGGTAGGTGATATAAATTAACAGCCATTCCACAATGTTCCTGCAATGGAAGGTGTGAACTAGCAGGAACTGATTGGCCTTCCACAGGAATGTGCGTTCCTTGCCGCACTTCAACAATGTCCAACAGAGTGCTGAGAACGGGGTGCTCATTTCCAGCAAAAGTCCCTTGGTGGCGAAACAATGACCAGCGTCCACACAGAGGACCACGCAATATCCAGTCAAAGATAACCAGTGATGGAGATTGAGCAGTATGTTAAACGATTTGAAGATTATGTCTGATATAGCAAGCGCAGAGCATTCAAAAATGAAAAATCCTTCCGTTACACACAGTGCGAAATAACTCGTCTGTGTTGTTCCAAAGACAACATCGTTGTCCATTGCCGATTTGTTGAAGATAGCCCAGAGTCCAATGACAGCCCCAAAGACGCCGAACACGGCTCTGACAACGGCTAAATTCCAGAACACCTTCTCTTTGATACGTAGCGATCTGTACGTGGAGGTGAAGGACGCCGTTAAAGCGGACACCACATAGACAGCGTAGAAAAACACAAAGCTGCTGGTGACGACGGCAAATTTTGTTGAGGTGAGTTGGTAGTTGAGGTTCACCAGACTGGGATGTAGATACTGGACTATCTCCCATGTGGGATCGAGGACCTCGGGTTTCTCCGCCATGTCGCTGAAACAATCAATATGACAGTATATAGTCTTGAGTAGATTAAACAAGGCATGCATATTGAAGAACAACTCTGGGGACCATATAGAATTTGGGGGTGGGGGTGGGGGGTTTATTGGTGTAAAATTGTGTTCGCTCTTTCCAACAATATCATCAAATATATTCAGGACCCCAAAATTTTATTGTTTTTAATGTAGCAAAGGACGTTTCCATGAAGTCTGTCAACCCAGTTTTATACGATACGCATAGATGGGTGTAGATAAGTACAGATAGGCTACCCGTGAAGGTCCAGGTTAGAATGAACCTTCGGTAACCCGTGCTTGTGATAAGAGGCGACTAACGGGATCGGGTGGTCAGGCTCGGTGACTTGGTTGACACATGTCATCGGTTCCCAGTTGCGCAAATCGATGTTCATGCTGTTGATCCCTGGATTGTCTGGTCCAGACTCTATTACTTACAGACCGCCGCCATATAGCTGAGTGCGGCGTATAACTCACTCACTCACCGATAGGTGAAGATAGCCATAGATAGCTATAGATAGGTACAGATATGTGTAGATAGGCATAGAAAGGTATAAATAGGCATACACACATTTAAGACCAGCCGACTTCATCAAGGCGAAGGCGTCGGTTGAATTACAATTCGGTTCCACACACTGCATGCAATGGCTTCTTAGAAAGCTTCTGGGCAGACTTGGTCAATAACATCACCTGGTTTTCTCCCATCGCTGTACCGTCCAGCAGTACATTGTCATCAACAAAATTCACCTCAAATTCCAGATTCTGTCCAACAACCTTGACACGCTTAAATAGCCGTGGAATTCCTAAAATCCTGAGTCTAGACATGCATCACCAGAAGATCATCCGATAAATAAATATGTGCAAAAGTACACAATTCTATCACGAAGAGCCTCCACATTAATCAGACGGTCAAGACTCTGAATATCTTGTTTTGTCCAATCGAAAGGAATAGGACAGGACTGGCACAGCAAAAGTATTGGTGACTTTCACCTTGTTTCGAGAGTTTAGCTCAGAGCTCCAGATTTGTTTTTAAGGAGTTTTATACTCGGCCCGTATTTTTGTTGAATCTGGAAATTCTGGAGCTTGTCTCGAACTTGCATTCCAAGATAGTTGTAGGCCTGATCTTCCACAAGATGCTCAAAAACCTCTCCCCCTTGTACCCTGACGGACCCATCATTAATTACCTTGCCACGTTTCAAATGAAGAGTATTACATTTGTCGAGTCGAAATGTCATGCCAGTATCATTAGAAAAGGACTCGACAAGGAGAACCTGCTCTTTCGAATTGGTATCCCCATTTGGCAAGGAGCTCTATATCATCCATGTAAAGGAAATGAGTAAGCGGCGACAATGGTCCCCTTGAAATATTCACCTTCTGATTGGAATAGTTTCGGAAGCCTGCACCTGAACCTGCCCTTGCGAGTACATCTCAAGTAAGTCGACCAGCAACTAAATAAAGACTTGAGTAAATCAAGTAGTCGCTCAGGGAGGTCGATGCAATGCAGAGACTTCAGAATCTATTCATGAGGGACAGTCACATCCTATTTTAAGTCAATCCAGCTCATGGAGAGGTTGTGGTGATATGTATAGCCTCTTCCAAAATCATTTTCTGTGCAAGAAGTTGATGCTTGCACCACCAACATCCCCTCTGTTCTCTATAAATCATTGCAAAAGCAGTAAGATGACATGAGGTTTGTCAAACACCCTGTGAATAGTTTATATTGTGTATTCAAACATGTGATATGGTGTCAGTTTGGGGGATCAGTCAAGTCTCCTTTTTGGGGAAGTATTGTGCGGCCTTTGTTATACTCTTACTTCATTTGAATATCCCGACACATAGTTACACATGTTCTAGCTAGGGAGCTCTACACTCTTGTGTTAGCGAATCAACTCATACTACACGGTGCTCATTCAAGTAGGATCATTTCGTTTTTGTGCAATTATTCAGCTATCGTTATGGCAACGGAGATGAGGATTGGGATGAGAAAACTCTATTCATATCAGAAGAGAAAAGAGGAAGATGATTAGTTTATTTATCAGCTACAGGACGATATCAGATTTGACCTATTTCTCCATGTTTTGCTACACCGGATCAGAAAGTTCACTCCGAAGATAGAGGAATTCACACCCAGACATCAAGGACTGAGACACGCACCTGAGAATGAAGCCTCATTTGAATCATGGAAATTGGAATTAAAATGTCTTCTTCAGGACGCCACATATCCACCTGTGTTGATGGCCCAGGCTCTGAGGAAATCTCTGACAGGTGACGCTGCAAGTATCCTTTTATCACTAGTACACACTGCGTTGGTGGAAGCCACAGTTCGGAAACTACACGGACTCTATGGAACGTTGGACAACCCAGATACATTGATGCAATAGTTCTACACAGCACATCAACAGGACTCGGTTTTCGTCGCATCATGGGGAATACGATTTTTCAAATCTTTTATTTGTTCCCATAATTGAGTACAAGCATATAAAGTAAAGCAATAAATGCATAAATACATGATCAAAGTTCATTGGGTTCAACAAAAATGTTAGGTCAACTGATAGCATAGAGAGAATATACTCCAGTAAAATTATTCCCCTTTGATTAAAGATTACGTCAGAAATTAAATATTGAGAATAAAGGAAACCATTTGTCTGAAAATTTATCAGATTTATTGTTCCTTCTGGATATGAAATTTTCAACCGTATAAATGTCTTTCAAATTTTTAAAAAATTATTAACTTTTGGAATTATTTTCTTCAAAGTGCAAGTATATATATATTTTTTAGCAGATAAGATTATATGATTTAGTAATGGCTTATTACCCAAAATTCCAAACCAAACCAAGGTCTTTGTTATTTCAAATTTCTGTATATTTTGGATTATCCAGTTTTCAAGTTCCTTCCAGAAGGTTTGGGTTACAACACATTCCCAATATACATGACATAAAGTTTCACTATCAACATTACAAAGGCTACATACTGCATTGTCAACCAGTTTCATTTTCATAAGTTCTTTTTTTGTATAAATAATTCTGTGCAAAAATTTAAATTGAAAGTCTAAAAGTTTTACATCTTTCACATTCCTTCTGCAAATATTAAAAATCATACGCCAATCAAAATCAATATCGTAAAATAAGTTTTCCCATTTTAGGCAAATATGAGGTTTAATATTGTCAGATAAGAGTTTATCATAAAATAATCTTGAACCTTTTTTTCAAATCCATAAAATCTTTATGAAGAAAGTTATCATCCAGATCATTGTTATGTATATTTCTGTATTGTTTTATGGTCAATTTCCATGATTCAGGTATGATATAGAAAACATATCGAAGATCCATATATGTACCTCTAATATCAAATTTGAGCTTCAGATCTTCAAGAGACATAAAACCATCTTCATAACAAAGGTCCTTAATTGTTAAAATTCCATTTTTAGCCCAATGCCTGATAAAGTGATTTGGGTTTTTTGAAATTATTATTCAGCCATAAAGGTTGTGCTAAAATTCCTTTAATGTTGTCTGCTTCTATGGTATTCTTATTACAGTATAATTTCCATGCCATAAAAATCTCTTTCAAAAGGATTATCAATTTCAACAATATTCTGAAAATTTGCTCCATATTTTAGTATATCATTTAATGGAAAATTGCATGGATTACTCATATTTGTTTTTCTCAAATAGAGTCTGAGTGTGGATAATTTCATGGCATTAACAAAGGTTTTAATATCTATCATGCGTAAACCCCTTCTGTATAATCCTTTTTCAAAGTGCTCCGTTTAATTTTATCATTTTTGTCGTTCCAAATGAATCTGAAAAATAGTCTCTCAAGGGAAGTGATAAATTCATCAGGTGGATTAGGTAAAGAATTGAAAATGTGAACCAGTTTTGAAAGAGCCAATGTTTTAATTACAGTGATTTTGCCAATCAGTGTGAGATGTCTTTTTCTCCATGTTGCCAATAATCTATTAATTTCTTCAAGTCTTTTTCTTGTGTTGATTACCCATAAGTCATTCAAATCAGGTGTGAATTTAATACCCAAAACTTCAAATTCCTTTCTTTGCCATTCTATATTCAAATCTTCACAAATCATATCTCTGCTACCTGCATTTGAGCCTATCCAGATTGCTTTAGTCTTATCGATATTTATCCTTAACCCTGACATATTGTAAAAGTATTAATGGTATCAATAGCAGCATACAAACTTTCATCTAAAAATAATTCAGTATCATCAGCATATTGTCCTAATTTATATTCCTGAACATCAATTACAATACCCTTTATATCATCATTTTGTCTTATCATACATCCAAGGATTTCAGCTACAAAAGAAACAAATATGGCGATATTGGGTCACCTTGCCTGCAACCCGCTCATTAGGGAAGAAATCAGAGAGATGTCCATTCTGAATAACACATGATGTTGTATCATAAGTTAATAAATTAATCCAGCGTATAATCTGTGGCCCAAAACCAAATTTTAGTAAAACAGAGTTGATAAAATCTTTAGAAACTGTGTCAAAAGCTTTTTCGAAGTCAATTAAGATCAGCAGACCAGGAATATCTCTTTTCTTTGTTTCAAATATAAGATCATATAATAACCTTGTATTTTCACTAAGAGTTCTACCCGGTATGAATCCAGTCTGGTTATTATGTATCAAAGAGTCTAAGGTGATTTTTAACCGGTTAGAGATACATGCACTAATTATTTTATACAAAGCATTTAATAAAGTAATTGGTCTCCAGTTCTTTAATAAGGCCCTATCTTTATTAGCTTTAGGTATACAAGTGATAACTCCTCTCTTCATGGTAAGAGACATCTTATTTCTTCTTGAAACATCATTGATAAATCTAAAAATCCAAATTTTGAGTTCTTTCCAAAAATACTTGAAGAAATCTATAGGAAATCCATCAATTCCAGGGCTTTTGTTATTCTTCATACTTTTTACTGCAAATGATATTTCATTCATATCTATTTCTTTTTCCAAATTGTCTCTAAATTGGTCACTCAAGATTGGAATTATTACATTGTCTAAGTGGTCATCATTTTTATAATTCTTCTTGTCTGAAGAATAAAGTTTTTTATAAAATTCTTTCAGTTCATTTAATATTGATTTACTGTCAGTAATTTCCTCATTCTTATCTGTAATAACTCTATTTATTGCTTTGCTGACATAATTTCTATTTTCTAAATGGCAGAAGTATTTTGTTGCTGTTTCTCCTTCTTCATACCATAAGATTCTGTTTCTAAGTTGAATTCCTCTTATCTCTTCTTCTTTAATTTGTTGTAGTTCCAATTTTAATTTTGTAAGGTCAGCTAGTAGGGATTCATTAATATTTTGGAAATCTTTTCTAATATCATCTTCACAGTCTTTGATTTTAATTTCCAATTCACTGGTCTTATTTATTGTTTTCTTTTTGAGAAAAGATGAAAAAGAGATTGATTTTCCTCTTACTTTCATCAGAAAAGTTTCCAGGAATAAGCTATCATCAATCTTCAATTTAATATCCGAATCATCAACATTTTCACCATTATGTTCAGTATCTAAATATTCTTCAATTGTATCCCTCAAGATTGATCTTACTAAATCAGCATATTCAGGATGTAAGAGTAAGGAAGTGTTAAATTTCCAATAACCCCTCCCTCTTTCTTGGTTGATAGTGTTTGAAAAAGTAAAGCTAATGGCTGAATGATCTGTTTTATAACCAGGTATGATATCAGAATCAAGTGAAATATTAACCAAGTCTTGTGAAATTAAGAAAAAGTCCAACCTTGCTTGTTGTCTAGGCTTTTTTCTCCACCAGGTATACTTTCTTAAATCAGGATTCAGTTCTCTCCAAATGTCTATAAGATCAAGGGATTCAATTTTGTCTAATACAATATTTCTAGCCTGAGGATTGTTGATATTTTTATAATTTTCCAAATCAACTGAAGGATCAATGACCAAATTCCAATCCCCTACAATAGCTATGGATTCATTATCAAAGTTACAAATATTGTTGAAAAGTTTTAGATAAAAATTTGGGTCATCATTGTTAGGTCCATATAGATTTGTAAGGGTGAATCTTTTATCGTCAACAGTTATATCAGCAATAACATAATTACCATTTTCATCCTCTAATGTTCTGTGTATGGTAAGATCAATGTCATTATTAAAGAGTATAGCCACCCCTCTAGAGTTAGATCTAAAGGGTGCAATTATACTTTGCAAACCCCATTCATTTTAATTTTATTTACATCTTCTTTAGCCACATGGATGTCCTGCAAACAAATTATTGAATATGATGTTTTTTTCCTGTATAGATTCATAACTTCTTTCCTTTTATTAGTGTCAGCTAGGCCTCTACAGTTAGCTGAAACCATTCTAATTTTCTTAATTTTATCCACAGTCAGATGCAAAAAAACATATTTTTTTTAAATTAACATGATTTAGAGTAAGATAGTTCATACAGGATATAAAGGGAAAAGCCGGTTGTGAATGATATGTTGGTTCAACTTTCAAACAGTGGGAACAGATTTTTTCTTTAACATAACTATAAAGTGGTACAGAACAGACATGTAAAGGAAAGTAAAGTAGTGAACATGCAGGCGCTGCATGTGTTTGGTAGAAAACACAAGAGATAAAAGCCAAAAATATGTACAGAAATAAAAGCCAAAATAGAGGCATTGATGCTCTATTCTCAAACCCAATGTAGAAACTTACAGCAGTCAGTGTGCCAGCTGATAAGAGCATAAACATGACCTCAAGGTCGTTAATTGACCGTGTATTGAGCTTGGTGAAACAGGAAGTTGAGATATTTACACAGTGTTATGTCGGTATGTTCTATACTCTGTGTTGTGCAATATCTGTTGTTTTTACACACTGTAGAGGGCAATATCGTCATATTCTAAATATAAAGTATAATATCATGTTCTACACAGTATCCATTGTGATATCGTAATAATGCAAGACAAATACATGGATAACAACTTCTTTATTTGTTCTACACACCGTATAGTGCAAAATCTTCATGCTCTACACACGATGCAATAAAATACCATTATGTTCTACACAAAATACACTGTACTATCGTTATGTTCCATACACTGTTAAAGTACAATATCGTAATGTACACAATATACAGTATTTTAGAGAGTAATATCGTACTACACACTATACCGCCATCTTCTGCACATGACAGTGTAACCTCGTGACTGCATCCGCCGGGTTAGTAAGAGGCGACCAGATGGGTCAGTTTCAGTTACTCGGTTGACAGCAGCATTGTACCCCGACCGTTGCTCACTATATCGTTCACTGGACTGTCCAGACTCGATCGTATCTATCTACCTATCTGTCAGTCAGTCAGTCTCTCTGTCTGTCTCTGTCTGTCTGTCTGTCTGTCTGTCTGTCTCTCTACACCTCTATATTATTGAGCGGCATATTCAAAGACAATGCTGTGGATGGTACTATAGTATTATATCTATTTCCAGCGAAAAAATTTAAGGGTACATGGCCCACTATGTAACTATCCCACTCTTACTATCATGTCCATTTATGTCACTATAGTAGAGTATCTCATGTGATTATCATATTTACAAGAACGCCTCGCCCATGATTTTACTTGTGGACAAATCGCTCGCGATGTTAATAGTAAGCGTGCACGTGTGCCATGACATTGGCCTTTATGAAGATGTGATTTTATCATTTGATTTAAGGCCATCGAATCAGCTGTGCATGTGATCAGCTGAATAACTGGTTGTTGGGCCCACGGAATGCCTCAGCGGGATCACAGATGAGGTCATTCAAAAACATTCTGATATGATGAAAAGAGAGAAAAAGAATATCATTAGGTCCCTAAAACAGTGCTTACACTGACACTTGTTGGTTTGTTGCTAACGCTTCACTCATCACGTGCATTTTCCATCACACGCGATAAGTATTTCAATGTGAAAACGATAAAAGATCTTTTTAAATAATGTACAAGTTCATTTCATCAGTGAGTTTTTAAAAGAAATTGATTTCATTGATAAATTTTTGATATGTATTGCAATTTGTGCATGAGGTTTAATTTGTGAGAATGACTACATAACTTTGATTATTAGTGGCTATACCTTCAGAGGAAGTTGAGGTAGCGTACAATTAGTCTCCCCCGGAGAGGCTATGTATGTCCCATTCCTTTTATAGTCTTTTTCATTGTCCGTGACTTTAATTGTAGTAAATATGTTCTTTTAATGTATTGTTAACTGTGCAAAGATCACCAGCATCTCAAGGGACGATATTAATCAACTAGGGTCCATGCAGGAAGCAAATGTACTGTAACTGTAACAGTCATATAAAGATAAAACAGTGTTCGTTTTAATATATCTGTCGACAAGGAACAGTAAACTAGATGGGTATATCACAGTTTCAGAATAAAACCAACAGGATACAAATTGAGTTAAAAGGCTAGACAGCAGGCTGATCAAAAACTACCAGGCTATAAGCCACTAACAACACAAACATAGGACACCATTATGCTTCATCAGCCGCATTTTGTGTACATTTCTAAGTTTAGCTGTAATCTAACGCTGTATCGTTTTTATTCCACAGTGTAGTTTGGGTCCTTAGGTAAATTAGACAATGAAAACTAAACCAATATAGTATAACATATATTAGTATAGGTTTTGACGAACAATACATGTATGAGTATATATGAAATCGAATTTTAGTTAACATAACTGTTGTGACAGTTTCACTATATACTAAAACGATGTACAGGTATATAACATAAGTAAATATTTATGGAACATTGACACTGATAAACGTTACAACATGTTGACGTGGAGGTCGGTCCATCTTCGAAAAGTTTCCCCAACAGCTAAGCTTTCTTTCAAAACAGACCAGAAAGGTTGAGGCCGTCTTCTTCAACGGTGTTCTCGAAACATGAGGACTATCTGTAGGAAGCTAAAGGGTTTATCCTTAGCCAAAATAACACCGATACACTATCAAATCTTCTAAACAGAGGGCGTTTGTGCTTCGATTAAGCTGGATATGATAGATAAATTACAATGTTAGAGCATATAATACATTCCGCCATCTTGTCATGTTGGTCACATGATATTGGTGACATGCTGGTCACGATTAAGATGACTTGAATGACGTGTGAATTTGGTTAGGTTTCCATCTTATCGGAAAGAGATACATGGAAAAGTCAATATAAGTTAAAAACGTTCAGTCATTTTTTTTCACAGTTCCGTTCGTCTCAGCGTCTTTGTTCATCTCGGATTGCTTGTTGTTTCTCGTGAAATTCCAATCTACTGGGTTGAACATCTGTTCAGTCTTTTTGTACGTCCAGTAGGGGGGTCATGATGAGTGTGACAATAGGTAGCTGTATGTACAGACACAAGAAGACGGACAGGGGCATGCTCGACCAGATATGAGGCCAGTTCTGGTAGGTGATATAAATTAACAGCCATTCCACAATGTTCCTGCAATGGAAGGTGTGAACTAGCAGGAACTGATTGGCCTTCCACAGGAATGTGCGTTCCTTGCCGCACTTCAACAATGTCCAACAGAGTGCTGAGAACGGGGTGCTCATTTCCAGCAAAAGTCCCTTGGTGGCGAAACAATGACCAGCGTCCACACAGAGGACCACGCAATATCCAGTCAAAGATAACCAGTGATGGAGATTGAGCAGTATGTTAAACGATTTGAAGATTATGTCTGATATAGCAAGCGCAGAGCATTCAAAAATGAAAAATCCTTCCGTTACACACAGTGCGAAATAACCCGTCTGTGTTGTTCCAAAGACAACATCGTTGTCCATTGCCGATTTGTTGAAGACAGCCCAGAGTCCAATGACAGCCCCAAAGACGCCGAACACGGCTCTGACAACGGCTAAATTCCAGAACACCTTCTCTTTGACACGTAGTGATCTGTACGTGGAGGTGAAGGACGCCGTTAAAGCGGACACCACATAGACAGCGAAGAAGAACACAAAGCTGCTGGTGACGACGGCAAGTTTTGTTGAGGTGAGTTGGTAGTTGAGGTTCACCAAACTGGGATGTAGATACTGGACTATCTCCCATGTGGGATCGTGGACCTCGGGTTTCTCCGCCATGTCGCTGAAACAATCAATGTGACAGTATAGCGTCTTGAGTAGATTATACAATGCATGCATATTGAAGAACAACTCTGGGGACCATGCATATTTGGGGAGGGGGGGTGGTATTGGTGTAAATTTGTGTTCGCTCTTTCCAACAATATCATCAAAAATATTAGGTGACGATAGCCATAGATAGGTACATATATATGTAGATAGGCATAGACAGGTATAAATAGGCATAGATACTTATACTAATGCAAAACATTTCAATCGAGTGCCATATATCAACTGAGTTAATGTGTTATGACGTCTATATGCTTGGTAACTCCGTAATGTCCTGGCACAGGAACACCACACCTTCACCTAGGTTATCTCTGAGTAACCCCCGCATACTCGGATCCCGAGGCAACCCCCTTCCTTACATCAGCTAAGCAATTACACTTATAGAATATGAAGTAAAAAATATGCAGAAACACAGGTTTAACCACGTGTAATCAACTTAGTGGAAACATGTACTTAATGTGAAATGTATACCACTTTCTCCAATACGCTGCCATGCACTTCTGTGTGTGTGCGTGCATGTGTGTGTGTCCCACCCCGCGCCATACACAGCTCCAGCATTGCGGCATTAAGCAAATAACAAGTTCGAGTTTTAGCTGCCAGTTAGTGGTGTCACCTTATTTTCTTCCGCGTCACGTAAATTGTCCACGTGCTGTTTCTGTGCTTGTCACGCGTGTTCGTCTAATTAACTGATAACCCAATAGTTCAGGTATCTTCTGTTATCTTATCGAGTCGACATACACTCCAGTGTCACCAGGTTCGTCATAGGTTCGCTAGCCTACGTATCACGCTTAGATAGGAACATTTCGATCAAAACACTGCAGACAAAATAGTTAAATTCTTTTAATTAAAAATATTGATACTCTCGATGTAGTCAAAATACGATCAATATGGTATTTGAATTAATTCACTCATTATCCCCCGAGTTATGATAGGACTAAAGACATCTATGCGGCTCTAGACGGCAGATCGGTTGTCAGCATTCCATTTTCTGGACAGCGATGGCTGAGTGGGTTAGATCGCTGCGAGTACAATAATTTCTAATTTACAGAAGAAGTGTAATCCCAAATATAACATATGTAAGATGTCAAAGTCCATAGGGTACAAGCTCACGAATGTGAACCATGAACTTTGCACAGGATAATCTTGAATATTTAACAGTTATTCTTAAAATATCCATGATGCTTCTGTCGACAGAAATTCTGACAAAAGCTGTTAGTTCCACAGACTATTATTTTTCATTTAGACAGACACAATGCCAGATAGTGTGTTTTGTCTGGGTGTATGGTGGACTTACCTTGATGTGGAGAGCCTTTGTTGATGGCTGTGTTATAATCCCCTGACCCAAGTAACTAGGTACTCCGATGTCGATGTTTATATCAATAAACAATGTGACCCCACGTGACAACATGCTGTACAAGGTACAACCTCCCAGATAACCACGCATCTGGCTGCTGTCGGTGTCATACACAGTGAAAGCGAGGCAAAGCATGCAATAGCAGCAGTAATAGCTCTCCATATGACAAAGCATTTGAAAGCCTGGTTCAGGTTTTTTATATGATATATTATACTTTATTAAAATGACACAAAGAGCATATCTCGTAAACGGATCTGAAAATGGAAATATTGAAGAGACATGTTGATGGCATTAATAATCATCGTCGAAAAGGTTTATAAACTTATATATTTATATAGTATGACCAGAAATTATTGAGAATTTTAGGAATATGCTTAATTGGATTTTTAGTATAAACAACCTTGACCAGCTATCAAGTGCTTGGTTTCATTCAAGAGAGACAACTCCGTTAATCCTTTTTCATTAGTTTGTGAAGAGTTATCCCCCTGTGTTTACTTGCTAGCAGACGACATTTTCAGTGATCCTTAGTATGGATGATTTAGAGAAGAGGAAGTTGATGTTAGAGTATTATAACAAGGACATCAGATCAGCTAAAGTGATTTTAGAGTATTATAACAAGGACATCAGATCAGCTTAAGTGATTTCAAGTAGAACAGGCATCCCTTTGTCCACTGTTTATCGTGTTTTGAAAAATATTGCAAATGGATATGGCATTGAGCACAAGGGAGGCGCAGGTAGGCCCAGAAAATTGACTGTCGGTGACCGGAGACGGCTTGGTATTCTTGTTTCAAAATATAAACGAAGGAGTTTAGAAAACTTAAGGCTGGATATGATTGATTTAGAGGAACTGTGGCCGTCTGTGAGGAGACAATTAGAACTGAGTTGCATGCAATGGGTTGGCAGAAAAGTCGAGGAATTCCATCACCGATCATGAAACCTGAACAAAAGGAGCGTAGGTTGAACTGGTGCTTACAGCATAGAAATTTTAACTGGGACAATGTGATTTTCTCAGATGAAAGTTCTGTGTGGCTGTTTCCTAATACACTAAAATTCTGGACCAAACAAACTGAAAAACCTTTGTATCAGCGCCCAAAGTACAGTCCGAAATTTAACGTGTGGGGTGGCATATCTATGTTTGGGTCAACGCCCCTCTGTGTATTTGAAGGGAATATGAACAGTGAGCGGTACACAGATATTCTCGAGGGCTATTTACTTCCATCTGCTCACGTGTTCTATGGATATGTTTGGATTTTCCAGCAGGACAACGACCCAAAACATCGTTCAAAGCATTCACAGGCCTGGTTTCGGACCCAAAATATGACATTATTGGATTGGCCAAGCTATAGCCCTGACTTAAATCCAATAGAAAGCATTTGGGGACTTATGAAGGAAAGTGTCGATAAGAAAAATCTGACAAATATTGCTGAAATGAAAGAAGAGGGATCCGATATTGGGACAGCATGGACCACGACTTTCTAACTTCTTTGATCAGTAGTATGCCCCGCTGCATTGCTGTCCATGGTGACTTGACAAAATACTAACTGTTCACCTGTCTTTGAATCTGGAGTTCGGTTCTGCTAATATTGACATTTAATACGTGAGTAATGAGTGAATTTTTAAAACAAAATTTACAATCTTAAATTCTCAAAAAATTCTGGTTGTACTGTATATCTAGTAGAACTCGGACTCATCACCCACGTATAATCCTTTCTGTGGATTAAATTCATTCCATGGCACTTAGCCATAGCTTCAGAATACAACAGAACAATGTCACCATTGACAAATGTGTCCACTATATTGAAGTCACCATATTGAAACACCTGATGGCGCTATAACTCAGTCAAAGTTATTTTCTACTATAGGAGACTCGTTATGTTCCACATACTATATTATGAAATAGTTATGCTCTATATACTATACAGTGTCCCCTCGTTATGTTCTACATACTATATTATAAAATAGTTATGTTCTATATACTAAACAGTGTCCCCTCGTTATGTTCTACATACTATATTACGAAATATGTATGCTCTATATACTATACAGTGTCCCCTCGTTATATTCTACATGCTATATTATGAAATAAGTTATGCTCTGTATACTATATTATAAAATAATTATGTTCTATATACTATACAGTGTCCCCTCGTTATGTTCTATATGCTATCTTATAAAATAGTTATGTTCTAATTACTATACAGTGTCCCCTCGTTATGTTCTATATGCTATCTTATAAAATAGTTATGCTGTATATACTATACAGCGTCCCCTCGTTATGTTCTACGTGCTATATTATGAAATAGTTATGCTCTATATACTATACAGTGTCCTCTCGTTATGTTCTACATACTATATTATAAAATATGTATGCTCTATATACTATACAGTGTCCCCTCGTTATGTTCTATATGCTATATTATGAAATAGTTATGTTCTATATACTATACAGTGTCCCCTCGTTATGTTCTACGTGCTATATTATAAAATAGTTATGCTGTATATACTATACAGTGTCCCCTCGTTATGTTCTACGTGCTATATTATAAAACAGTTATGCTGTATATACTATACAGAGTCCCCTCGTTATGTTCTACGTGCTATATTATGAAATAGTTATGCTGTATATACTATACAGTGACCCCTCGTTATGTTCTACGTGCTATATTATAAAACAGTTATGCTGTATATACTATACAGAGTCCCCTCGTTATGTTCTACGTGCTATATTATGAAACAGTTATGCTGTATATACTATACAGTGTCCCCTCGTTATGTTCTACGTGCTATATTATGAAATAGTTATGCTGTATATACTATACAGTGTCCCCTCGTTATGTTCTACGTGCTATATTATACAATAGTTATGCTGTATATACTATACAGAGTCCCCTCGTTATGTTCTACGTGCTATATTATGAAATAGTTATGCTGTATATACTATACAGAGTCCCTCGTTTATGTTCTACGTGCTATATTATAAAAATAGTTATGCTGTATATACTATACAGTGTCCCCTCGTTATGTTCTACGTGCTATATTATAAATAAAATACAGTTATGTTCTGTATATACTATACAGAGTCCCCCTCGTTATGTTCTACATGCTATATTATAAAACAGTTATGCTGTATATACTATACAGTGTCCCCTCGTTATGTTCTACGTGCTATATTATAAAACAGTTATGCTGTATATACTATACAGAGTCCCCTCGTTATGTTCTACGTGCTATATTATAAAACAGTTATGCTGTATATACTATACAGAGTCCCCTCGTTATGTTCTACGTGCTATATTATAAAACAGTTATGCTGTATATACTATACAGTGTCCCCTCGTTATGTTCTACGTGCTATATTATAAAACAGTTATGCTGTATATACTATACAGAGTCCCCTCGTTATGTTCTACGTGCTATATTATAAAACAGTTATGCTGTATATACTATACAGAGTCCCCTCGTTATGTTCTACGTGCTATATTATGAAATAGTTATGTTCTATATACTATACAGTGTCCCCTCGTTATGTTCCACATACTATATTATAAAATAGTTATGCTCTATATACTATACAGTGTCCCCTCGTTATGTTCCACATATTATATGATAAAATAGTTATGCTCTATATAGTAAACAGTATCCCCTCGTCATGTTCTACATACTATATTATGAAATAGTTATGCTCTATATGCTATACAGTGTCCCCTCGTCATGTTCCACATATTATATGATAAAATAGTTATGCTCTATATTCTTTACAGTATCCCTCGTCATGTTCTACATACTATATTATAAAATAGTTATGCTCTATATACTATACAGTGTCCCCTCGTTATGTTCTACATACTATATTATAAAATAGTTATGCTCTATATACTATACAGTATCCCCTCGTTATGTTCTACGTGCTATATTATAAAATAGTTATGCTCTATATATACTACACAGTGCCCCCTCGTTATGTTCTACATACCATATTATAAAATAGTTATGCTCTATATACTATACAGTGTCCCCTCGTTATGTTCTCCATACTATATTATAAAATAGTTATGCTCTATGTACTATACAGTGTACCCTCGTTATGTTCCACATATTTTATTATGAAATAGTTATGCTCTGTATACTATACACTGTCCCATCGTTATATTCCACATACTATATTATAAAATAGTTATGCTCTATATACTATACAGTGTCCCCTCGTTATGTTCCACATATTTTATTATGAAATGGTTATGCTCTATATACTATACAGTGTCCCCTCATTATGTTCTACATACTATATTATAAAATAATTATGCTCTATATACTATTCGCTGTCCAGTCAATATCTTCTACATACTATATTATGACATAGTTATGCTCCATATATTATAAGTGAACCATCGTTATGTTCCACATACTATATTATGAAATAGTTATGCTTTATATACTATATAGTGTACAATCGTTATGTTCTACATACTTCATGTATATTTTGACATATGAAATGATGTATAGCCAGTGCAACATTGTTCTACAACGCATACCGCTACCTCACAAGACCATACAAAATACAATGTATCATCATAACATTCCATACACTATACAGTGTACCATCATTACGTTCTATACACTATACAGTGTACCATCATTACGTTCTATACACTATACAGTGTACCATCATTACGTTCTATACACTATACAGTGTACCATCATTACGTTCTATACACTATACAGTGTACCATCATTACGTTCTATACACTATACAGTGTACCATCATTACGTTCTATACACTATACAGTGTACCATTATTACGTTCTATACACTATACAGTGTACCATCATTACGTTCTATGCGCTATACAGTGTGCCATCATTACGTTCTATACACTATACAGTGTACCATCATTACGTTCTATACACTATACAGTGTACCATCATTACGTTCTATACACTATACAGTGTACCATCATTACGTTCTATACACTATACAGTGTACCATCATTACGTTCTATACACTATACAGTGTACCATTATTACGTTCTATACACTATACAGTGTACCATCATTACGTTCTATACACTATACAGTGTCATCATTACCATCACGTTCTATACACTATACAGTGTTACGTTCCATCATTACGTTCTATACACTATACAGTGTACCATCATTACGTTCTATACACTATACAGTGTACCATCATTACGTTCTATACACTATACAGTGTACCATCATTACGTTCTATACACTATACAGTGTACCATCATTACGTTCTATACACTATACAGTGTACCATCATTACGTTC